GCTAAGTACTACTATGATTCTATCTAGTCTACAAGTTTCCTATTCTGTTCAATTTAATTTAATCTAATTTAATTTAAAGCATCAATTCTATCAAAAGTACAGCTTTCATTACAATTCTAAATTAATTTTTTTTTCTTTATTTAACTTAATCTAATTTAAACAAGCTTCCTATTATTTACATTAAATCAACAAGAATTTGTAGCAAAATGTTTGTAAATTACCACGAACTGTATTGAGACAAAGGTAAAAGAAATTGTGTAAGATGTATTTCTAAGACATATTTAAATAAGCGAACAAAATATTCAGATTCAAATAAAAAAACATTACGTTGGTTCAGATTTAGATGACATATAAGATATAATTAAATTAACAAGGAAGATGTCCGGATAAAACTAAAGCAAATTATGCCTGTTCAAAAGAAGATCATTTACGATTCGAAAAGCGGTCGATGAGCATTCTATTTGTTCGCGATCACAATCACAATCGCAATCGCAGTCGGATCGTCGGCGCCGTTGTCTCCGTTAAAAGACAGGGCTCACGCATAATTAACATTGGGCGCAAGTATTAATTACACTGTGTATCCTTTTTTCTCGTCTCTTGTTGCAGGGCTTCACAAAGGAGTTCACGACACTGACTGCCCTAATTACTCACCACTCGGTGATGCCAGAATTACTGCCGTGCCCATTGTCATTAAGCCGGTACAACCCCAGCTTCGTGAAAAGCGATTCGAACAAAGATTTCGCGGACATCGATTCGGATCCCGATTACAATACCCTCGCCGACTTCCGCAAGATGATGGCCGACTTGAACGTTTAGAATGAACCGGAGAATCGAGCCGATCCGACCGGTGTTTCATTCCTTGCGAAACCTCTCGTTCTTCGCGGTTTCATGCGACCGAGGCGAATTCATTCCGAGATAACAGACTGAATTGCGCTTTAAATTGAAAACAAAAGAAATAGAAGAAATATACGAACGTGCACACGATTGCACGAGGAACAATGAGAGATCACAAGACCGTGATCCCGTCTTGGATACCGCGCCGTTTTGTGTCCGAGCATACTTATCAAGGAACAAAGGAATTTCTTGATCGAAGATGAGAAACGACACGCGACCGAGAAACGTTCTACGGTAGTGCCCGCTGAATGGACGCTGTTTATCACGCTGCGCGTTCCAACGCATTTTATTTAATGACTCTGAGCTTCGTTTCTATTCTATGTTTGATATTGTTTGATATTTGAATTTGAGAAGGTAATAGAAAATATATAGTGGACAGTTTGTTGAGGACAAAATATTTTTGGAATTAGCAATTGTCAGCGTTCAGTATTCATGACGGAAACTTAATTTTAAAATAAAAAGTAGCATTACTTTTAATTATTAAATTTAATTCTTATTTAAAGACAGCATTGTCTAACAACGCTACCTTAAAGCTGGGTATCTTTTAATGAAAACTATATTGGAAGTAGCAATTGAAATACATTTATTTGAATTGAAGTTTCACTAAACTGAATTTCGATTTCAAATAAATTGACATGTAATTAAAGTCGGTTTCAAATGAATTGACATGCAATTAAACTCGATTTCAAATGAATTGACATGTAATTAANGGACATCGATTCGGATCCCGATTACAATACCCTCGCCGACTTCCGCAAGATGATGGCCGACTTGAACGTTTAGAATGAACCGGAGAATCGAGCCGATCCGACCGGTGTTTCATTCCTTGCGAAACCTCTCGTTCTTCGCGGTTTCATGCGACCGAGGCGAATTCATTCCGAGATAACAGACTGAATTGCGCTTTAAATTGAAAACAAAAGAAATAGAAGAAATATACGAACGTGCACACGATTGCACGAGGAACAATGAGAGATCACAAGACCGTGATCCCGTCTTGGATACCGCGCCGTTTTGTGTCCGAGCATACTTATCAAGGAACAAAGGAATTTCTTGATCGAAGATGAGAAACGACACGCGACCGAGAAACGTTCTACGGTAGTGCCCGCTGAATGGACGCTGTTTATCACGCTGCGCGTTCCAACGCATTTTATTTAATGACTCTGAGCTTCGTTTCTATTCTATGTTTGATATTGTTTGATATTTGAATTTGAGAAGGTAATAGAAAATATATAGTGGACAGTTTGTTGAGGACAAAATATTTTTGGAATTAGCAATTGTCAGCGTTCAGTATTCATGACGGAAACTTAATTTTAAAATAAAAAGTAGCATTACTTTTAATTATTAAATTTAATTCTTATTTAAAGACAGCATTGTCTAACAACGCTACCTTAAAGCTGGGTATCTTTTAATGAAAACTATATTGGAAGTAGCAATTGAAATACATTTATTTGAATTGAAGTTTCACTAAACTGAATTTCGATTTCAAATAAATTGACATGTAATTAAAGTCGGTTTCAAATGAATTGACATGCAATTAAACTCGATTTCAAATGAATTGACATGTAATTAAACTCGATTTCAAATGAATTGACATGTAATTAAACTCGATTTCAAATGTGAATTGAAATATCATTAAACTCGATTTCAAATTAATTGAAATATCTGGAAACACGATTTCAAATTAATTGAAATATCATTAAACACGATTTCAAATTAATTGAAATGTAATTAAACTCGATTTCGACGCTATTGACATTTAATTAATCGCCCGTTTCATTTAAGCAAGATATTTAAATCCGCGAGCTTTTGGGAACTTGACCGTTTCTTCTAAATTAAATCTCAAGTAAAAATTTATGAGAATATTGGTCACGAAACTGCGCCGAATTTGTGACTATTAAGCGGGCACTGCTGTATTTTCTCTTAAGTGACACGCGAGAGTATATAAGATAAAAAATTTAACGATCGCTACTATTAACGGTAGCGACAGCGAATCAAAAATCGATCATAATCGAATCATAATCTTTTCCAAAGAAAACCGTACTCCATCTAATAGAAAAAAGTTTTCAGTTTTATTATATTTCGAATCTACAACACATAAACAAAGTTTTCTATTACCATCAAACAAAAATAATTCCTGTTTTCATTATTCAATACTAGAATGCTAATTTCATACACATTGATAATACAAATATGACTGGACTCATTCAAGAACTGAACGCACTAAAAATATTCAGAAACATTATAACATTAGTTTTATCCTGTTCATACTGTTTAAAGAAGAAATATAGTTCCATTCAACTTCCGTTTCTCACGACGAGACTACATTTTATACAAAACTGTAAAAGCATTAGAAGAATGTAGGAATTTTATCAAATCGTGTTCGACTTATTAAACTTGTTACAAGTAGCTTACTTTTGCGCAAAACAAGATTTTTCGTTATTTCTAACTGACGTGGCCATGTTCTTATATTCTTTTGATGTTTCATTATCATGATTCTGATTCTTGCAATCAATTTGGAGATCCACAGTCTACCTACAACTCGGAAAATTTCCATTTTATATTGTAGAATTTTAGTATTATAACAAAGCCCGAGAACCTGTATAATGAACGTCGAAAATGATCCCGAAAATAATAGCATACTTTTTGAACAATTAAACTCTTCAGTCACGCTTTCCACGCTCGAGGAATGATTGCTTGAGACGACTACGATATTACCAGCACCATCGAAATCAAAAATGCAGATCAACGTTTCGGTAATTGTCGACGTGTGAAGGTCACGGGACGCCAGCTCTGCGGAATCAAATGATCGAACAATCGACTAGTTTGCTGTAGTTTTTTCTGCGAGACGAATCGTTAACGTAAGAACGAGATGAGTATATATTTTGTAATGTTATTGCGACTGTCTTCGGTGTAGATTTCGTTTCGAACCGACCGGTGAGAAATTGATTGGCGTTACAGAGCATGATCGAATCTCGTTTCGAAACGAAGTTTTCGTCGGTAGCGTAACCGGCGATCGTAATCGAGAAATGAAATCTTGAAAGTCTGCCGGCAAAGTGTTGCCGATCAAGAGTAGCGTATTGAATCGATACACGATTTTTAATTAGACGCATACGTCGGCGATTAGGTGTGATTTTCGATCGATCGAAGAGAGACAGAATGAAAGAGAGAGAGAGAACGGTTCCCGGGATTCATTAACGTTTCACGCGACTATAACAGCGTGTTCGGAAAAAAATTGATGTACATGTGTTTATATGTATATAAATTATAATTATTGTTCTACCATACTACTTATATTTAATTGAGAGAACTCGGCGGCTGCGTTGCTGAGAGCTGTATCCTTGAAACACTGGCGCATAGTGCTCGGAAACCGCAGAAACGGAAAATTTAATACCGACAGAAAATATATTATTTATTGTTAGCAGAACGATTTCACAGTTTTTCCGCAATGATTTTAATTCGCAATTAAATTCTGAGTATATCATATCTTCAACGCCTTTCAATTGCAATTATAATTCTAAGCGAATTAGGGTATAATTGTTGGGATTCTACTATACCTGTAATTAGACTGCAGATCTTCGCGCAAATTCTCATTTTTGTACGTCATTTCAAATATCAGAATTAAATAAAAAACGTTCAGTAAAAAGAAAATAAAAATGCTTTCAGACTTCGTCGATTCAAACGTTTTCTTGCATTTCTAAAATCTACACATGCCATGAGCATATAAAGATCCGCAATCTAACTACAACTATGTACATTGTCGATTTTTATGCAAAATAAAAATTGTCTGAGTAGAACGCAATGCAGTATTTTTAAATTTTACAAATGTTTTTAATGTACTAGATTTTTGATTTACTAATAATACATAAATTCATCAAATCCGCAACGTAATTGTAACATATTTTTGTTTATTAATTACACGGAGTGAAAACAATAACTTCTTTGTAATTGAATTAGTCGACTTGAACAGTTATGAGAAGTTAGAAGGATTAATTTACTAAGTGATGTGCGCGAGAGAAATCGTGGAAAAATTACAATTGATTGAAATTGCGGAAACGATACTGAGAAGAGTTCGTGTGTGCCATTTACTGGGTTTTAATTCCTGAAAATAACTTTCAAAGTTTTCGAAGAATATTCTATTATAGTATAATTCACATTGGATCAAGTAAAGTATACAATAAGTATACAGTAACTATGCAATAAGAGTGACTATAATGTGATATAGTATAACTCTTCATTGAGTGGATGCATTTATTTTCAAAACGAACTTCGTTCTGTTCGGTAGCATTTGAAGATTTTGTTCTTGCTTTTCCAAACACGAATTGAATACCTTAAGTTATTTAAGAGTTCCTTTTGTTACGAAAATGGCCACCTCTAACAATTTATTTTATATTAAAAAAAAAAATGAACACTGCCAGCAATTTTCGTTGAATTTAATCAAGTAATTCAAGTAACAGATCCTACCCCAAAAATATTCGTAAATCAAAGTCTCGTTCTCGAAATGAAAAACCATATTTGAATTCTTACCTATCCGGCTATTGAAATAAATTTCGAACCGAACCGAAGACTCGACAATTTTTTGAAAAAAAAGATGCGCAGAATTATAAAAGAATTACAATCAGCAACGATCATTTCTAAATCATTCCGACATCAAAATCTGTTGCCACAGTTTCACGAATGTTGGAAATAAAAATATGCTGGTCGTTGAACAAGATGATGTGAGATTATAGTTCGCGTTTCCACGGTCCAAGAGCACTATGCGACGAGACGAAGCGTAGATTTCCGTGGAATATCAAAGCCGACAGAGAGAATAACTTCGAAGTGGTAATTTAATCGGTCGACTAACCTAGTCTTGTACAGAATTCGCGTACGCATAGTGAATATTAAGGGGGAAAACATAAGGAAAGATAACCGTGTGCGTGTAACAGCCGATATCGTCTAGCAAAACGAAGGAACGTATGCTGCTTTTTTGTATATCGAGGAACGTAGGAACGTGTTTCAAAGAAGAATATACATACTTCGCGCGACTGCTACTTCTCGATTTCCTATTTTATTTCTTCGAATGCACGGGAGACTAAACGAAAACGAAAGACAGCAACAACAAGAACAAATCGAACAATTTACTTAAACGCAACTGCCAACCCCTCCACCGAACGATACGAACGTATTGGATCAGATTATAAGAACGTCAATTTATCCTATAGGAAGCAATACGTGGGAGAGACAAGACGAGATAACTGGTAAATTATGAAATAGTATTTTAATAAGAAGCCCACGTGTGAAACGTGAGGTGTCGAATTCACTGGAACACACCTGTCATGCTACGATTTATTGTATACAGTTCACCGCAAATAGTATTCGATCACATTAATTGGTAAACGAATTTCGCCGAGAATTTCGCAGATAATATGTTGATCGATGAAAAAGTAAATCGAAGTCTATTTTTGAGGAACGCTGTTCAATCGATTCAATCGAAAATAGAGTTCGATCGATTCTTTTCATTTGTGAAGCGAAGATTCTACGCGAAATTCGGTGCTTAAGGTGGCTGAATATTTTTGTAACAACTGTGAAAGGATTAAAAACAAAAAAAAAGAAACAAAATGGTAAACTTGTTTGGTTTATGGCGACCGACTCGACGGGAAACGCATAGCAGCTATAATGCGGACTTCAAAAGTAATGCGCGTGCAAACAACAAATCGCTTATCATTACCTTCGAAAAAAAAACATAAAACTGCAAAGAATAAGAGTTCAGCATGATTTAGCTAGTTTATGAGGATTCATTGTGCTTGGATGATCGAGAGCACGGTACAGAGAGGAAGTGTCTTTGTATCGCCAAATTAATTAACGTCTGCTAAGGTAAATACGCAAAGAAAACGAATGAGAAATTAATTAATCGTCGTAATCTACGCTAAGCGAGACATTAATCACTGCTTGAAGTTTGTAACGGTTTACGAATCATTATAGCGATGCGTTGTATAATTTTAATAAAATTATTTATTACAATAAACGATAAATAAAATAATATAATTTAGTCTACGAGCCCACGTTATTGTCGATTATCCCATTCACCCTTTAAAATTATTATTGTTCTTATTGAACGCTATATTATTAAAATTCGATGGATATAATACTGATTATAATACTGGATATAATACTAAAAAAGCTGAAGAATGTTTAAAGAATTAATAGTAAAACTGAAGTTTCATAATATAAATTGAATATAACATATTATTAAATTACTAGTAAAGTCGAATTTCAGGTAGTTATTTTTTAAATCAAATATTAAATTATTTATCACAGTACATCATTTTATTACAATTGCAATAATGAGAAAACGAATGAGACAATTGCAAATAATTTGTCATTACTTGTGTTCTTGAACAACATGCTTCCGTCTTTCAGGAACAAATGGTACAGTTCCTGGTTTAGAATGAATGCGCCTGTTGGATTCCCTGTAAACAAACACAATATTAGAATAATCGAATAAATAATATACAAAGTTTATTTCTTTTTGATACGTACTTCTGTTTAATCTTCTGGCGAATTGTACGCAGTTCGTCTCTGGCCTTGTAAATGTGTTCTGGAACTTGTCTGTGTCGAGCAATTCTCTTCACCTGAGGATGCGCAAGGAACTTTGCTTTCAATGCTTCATTGTAATTGAGACTTGCTCTTTCCCTAGGTTTCAACTGAAATAACATATTTCATTAATTATTATAACAATGGTTGCATATAAATTTTGTACTTATACAAAAACTAAGGCTTTACTTAATCGTCCTCAAAAATCAAATATAGATTATTGAGGATCTTTTGTTCAACAGCAGTATTTATACTGGTTTTAATACTGATTTCAATAATAAATTCTAATACATTCTTTCAAAATCATTGTTTAAAAGAAAATTATTTAGCTTAAATTGAAGGTCTTTACTAAATTTTCAAATAGCAATAGTTGTACACAGCTTAATATACTTTGTCAAAAAGTATACTCTAATATCTTCTTTTAAGATTATTATTCGAGAAAAAATTATTTAGCTTGATTTAGTCAAAGTATAGTAATTAAAGAGCCTATTAATAGGCTTCCAGTAGCTAAAGTATTAATGTGAAAAATAATTTGTTACACACCACACCCAGCTTTTCTGACGCATTAGCTTTCCAAATTCTAATGTTCATTTCATCGCTGCCAGTGACAATGTATTTGCTATCCAGAATCCACGCTACGCACGTTAATCTTTGCATCCGTTTCGTGTGGTATATTTCTCGAGAATGACCCTTGTCAGACTCAAAAATGCGGATCGATTTATCATAACTGCCAGACACAAATTCTTTTCCAGTTGGTGAATAATCAACGTCGATCACTGCCGACACATGATCCCTATGTACATTTACTGGTATCATCAAATTGCGTATATCGAAGGTATATAAACTGTAAGAGAAATATTAGTACCTTAGGTATCTTTAGATTTGCAATAATATAATGTTTTTTATAAACATTGTGACTTATTATTACAATAAAAACTATAATATAATTTTTCTAGACATACTTATAGTCTTCATTAGCACACGTGAAAGTTATAGCTTCCATAGGGTTCCAACATAATTTATTGGCCTTCAGCTTCATGGTTATCTTCCGTAGAGGGCCTGTTTCTCTAGTATCGTACAAGATGATACTACGGTCACTGGCACAAGTAGCTATGAAATGTTAAACATTTATAATCCTATAAAAAATATTCTCCTAACAGAGAAAGAAGTATTCATGATTTTTACCAAGTAAGTTTGACTGGACTGGATTGTATTTAATATCATTTAAACCATCAACACCCCATCTGAATGTCCTAATCGGTTCATTCCTCGTTTCTTCCCAAAGTTGACAAACTTCTCCACATGTTGCAAATATAGGTTTATATCGATGATGAGAAATTCCAGTAATTATAGTCTACAACATTTTGTAAATCTTAAATTCTGTATCTAAAACAAAGTAAATTTGTCTTGTTCCAGTCCTTTTAAACTTACTCTGCTGATAATTGTGTTTACAGGTTCCTCTTCAGCGCCAAATAATGGCTTTTCTGCTTTCCATAATTTAATGGTTTTGTCATCACCAGCAGTAATTATGTGGCTGCCATGTAAACCGTACACAATGCCCCTTACTATACCATCATGTGCTAGGAATGTACGTTCACAAGTTTGATGACCAAGATTCCATATTTTGACTTCCCCATCGAAAGCTCCACTGAGAATGGTAGTCAATTTTGTGGGGTGTTTGCAAAAGGTGGATATTCCATCCTTATGGCCTTCCAAATTTCCTACAAAAGGTTTTGCAAATATTTTCTGTAGTTTTACCGCATTTGTTGCCCTTGTATATTCTCTGGATGCTTCCAACGGATGCAAATCTGGATTATAGTTCCTAGGAACTAAACACATCATATATATATTTAATTATTATTAAGCACAGCAATGTGTTTAAGGTTAAATCTAACCTTAAACAAAAATCATAAATCTAACCCCTAAGGTTTAATCTAACCTTTATAAATATCACGTTTTGTTTCTCTTAAATAATGATCTGGATTTCTTGACAACACTTTCACTTTCATTTTGTCACAAAATAATAGGAATAATGTTAACGGAGATTTAATCGATCACGACGCATAAACACAAACCATGTGGTGGCGTTATTCATAGATAAAATTTAAAAGTAGTCAGCATATCTGAAATACCGACACAGTTAAAATCACTGCTCTTTAGCGACCTCTACAATGCGTCTGTCTAACCAATTTTAATGTTTTACCGCCACAAAGAATGATGCTACATTGCAAATATTGTGAAGCAAATTATTCTTATAATCATTACTGTTATCGATTCTTTTTATTAATTCCGTACACAAATGCATTGAAACAAAATAAGTGGTAGATAATTAGGTACAAAATAAGAATAGATGTTGTAATTAAACTATTAGTTTATTTTTATATATGCGCGCCTTTTCTCTATTGATAAAATCATGCCGCTAACAAGTGGTGCAAACTTTTAGCAACTTTGGTAACTACATCACGCGATCTACATTATATACTATGTAGAATCTTACAAAATTTCGTGATAACGTTACGAAATTATGAAACTTCGTAAATTATGGAATTTGAAATCGAATTTTTTTATAGATATCATTCTAACATCAGTTTAGATTTGTAAACATCAGTAAACATTCAATTCTTATTGAGTGGAAAAGTAGCGTTAAAAATCAATTATCTTTTCGGCAAAACTATCGTTTTTATTTTCAAGATATTTCATATCATAGTTAAAATAAATTGTACGTTAGCATTGATTGTTCTTATCTGTATATACGGATTAATTCAGAATAGTTAGCTAAAGAATAGCTACCGTGCACATGTAAGATTTTCGCAATAATAGACGTTCGTGAGGAAACGCGTGTATATATAAGAATGCGAGTGTCATGCCATAATTTAGTAGTACAGAGTAGTGGTCAGAGGAGGGACAATTATCAAAAATTTTCGAACATTAAATCATATAAAGTAAGTAGTCTCTTGCAGCATAGTTTACGTTGACATTCGGTTAGTCCACACGTGAATGGTCAGCATGCTTCAATTGTTGATTGTCACAGAACAGAGTTGATACGACGTTGTTGTGAGACAGAAACGTCAATTGAAATCTACCATTCTAAATCTTGTCAGTCAAGGTCAATATGTAGCACATGAAACGAAACATGATTTTATTTAGATATTTTGTTATAAATGTATTTTATTTATAGACACATAACCTCTTAGAAACATGAGAGAGATTGTTTAAGATAAATTATAGTAGTTTATAAGGCTATGACTGTATTTTGAAATTAATATGAAACAATGACATTTCAAATAAAAAATATTAAAACTGACCGATGGGGAGTTGCTATATTTATCAAACAAGTTTAAATAATTAAAAATATAATAACTTAATTTTTCTGTTTGATGATATAAAAACAATATTTTAGTATACAAAAATATGTAATATTTAATAATAACGTATAATATTCGGTATATTTTGTTGAAATGTTAGAGCACTGAAGTCAAAAGTGAAACATACGGCATAACTACGTTTCTGTTCACAAAATAGATGATTTTTACAAAAATTTTGAAATCCTTATAGGATGCTCAGCATGAGACTTTTGAAGCAGTTCATAGTACCATCTAGACGAATAAACATTATGTCAGCAAAGAGAAATAAACCTCCAAGTACTGATCAAGTACCTAAGCCTGAAACTAGTACATCAGCATCTACAACAGTTAGTGGGCAAGCAACAGAATCAAATCCTGTCAATGATAATGTTCTAGGTATAATATAATTTATATACAGTGACTCACATGTATGTTCACATATTTCTGAAGTAAGAATGAACTTAAGAAATATAATGTAACATTTATTTGTTTATGTTAATTAACTTCTGTTCTAAAATTCTTTAGTGATCTATTTGTTATTTTTTTGACACAGAATTCAAAATTTTATATGCAATTCAAACAAATAAATGGAGCAGCTTACTATGAACAAATATTTGAATCACTGTAGATTGTGTGAAATAAATTGAATGAACAAAAAAAAAAAGAAATATTATTTTATTTACTTTAGGAACTAATATGCATTATGTGTCCACTTTTGATAAATATGTGTTAGTATGGGTTAAAAAATATCCTAGTGTAGATCAAGTTCCAAGAATGGTGCCGTAAGTATAATCACAATGTATGGTATTGAATTATTATTATTTTGAATACGATTTATATTTTCTATTAGATGGAGTACTATGCAACACGCAAATACCACTGGAAGAATTCGTGTATGCAATATAATGATTGTTGTTACAATAATAGCTTTTATAACAGCTGTTATGTCAGGAAAAAAGGAAGCTGCAGGTGGAAGACATGTGTTCGGAGAAAGATTGCAATGGATTCAGGAACAAAAATTGAAGGGCATTGTTGAATCTGAAAAGAAAGCTGAAGCTGAAGCTTTGGCTAAGAAATAATAGTAGAATGACAATCTAAAAATTTAATAGCAATATATTGAAATACTCCTTTCACCACTTTATTATTAAATATAGTTTATAACTTCACAGTATTGAGAAAGCAATATATATTATATTGGACACTTAAGAAACTTTGGAGCATAGAATATGTATAAAATGTACATTGTATAATAATTTAAATTATTCAGAGTATATTTTGAAATAGATGTACATTGTTTAAAATTACTCTCTTGTTATTACTTAATAAAGATGCAAATAAAGAAGACACATGAATTAATTACATGTGTTATTTCTTTTACTTATATGTAATCCTTTGGTAAATGGGAACTAATACAAACAGTGCAATAGGTAAAACAATGATTTTAACAAATAACAAATGCAAGTAAATATCGTTACAAATGTATGAGCCATCTGTATTTATAAACAACATTTCTAATTACATTTCATTCCAATTTTTGTCTGGTTATAAGAAACCACAACCGTAAATGCAGTTGGTTCAATAACTATGTAAATATGGTATAGCTATGTAAATAATCAACCAGTCTCAACAGTTTAATATGGAATCACCAGTATTATAATATTATAAGTTCGTACTAACTGGTTTATAAAAATTGCGACATCTTTCATAGTATATTTGAACTGTTCGCTTTTTCACAACTTCTTCCACATTCAGTTCCGACTGCAACAAGCGCATAGTACTTTGTTCTTTCCTTAATGTTTTAAGAAGCTCAGGAGTATTGTCACCACTGTCCCGTTGGTCTTTTAATTTTTTTACTTTCTCTTTTGTAGCATTTAAACATTTTGTGATAGCCTGTTCTCTTTTCATGTGCCCCGTATGAATTTGATCATATAAATCTTTACATGTTGCTGTTGGGTCAATTTGAGCTTTAAAAGATTCTGTTGGTATTGTTGTATTTAACATGTAAATAATTTTGTCATCGATCTGTCGCATTTTCTGCAATGCATCCTGAAACAAGACACAAAATTATATTACAATTATAAAATATACTTAAAAAATATTTTACTACAAACTAAATATTAAGAAAGAAAAGTGATAAAACGTAACAATTATTTCAATAAATAATTTTCATAATTTTTCTCTGCAATGTCTAAAATACTGTGTACGTGCAGTACGTGTAATTAAACAATCTTATATAAATATATATACACAATGCTATAATAATTGCATCTCTCTCACAAGTACATGTGATAATCTAACCTCATCAAGTGTTTTTCATATTACTATAATACAGGATACTATCAATTAAAATATCAAATTTAGATCCTTCGTCAATTAGTTTTCTAAGAATATTATCACTGAAAAATTTGCATGTCTATAAAATATTACATAAATTGCGGTATAACCTTAACTAAATCGAAAATACATCGTTGTGTATGTATTAAAAAGATACAAAATGTTATTCAAAAATATTGGTTTTATTAATATATTTAAAATTTATTAAATTCAGACTTAGTATCGTTTACATTATTTTCATTTATAATAATAATACCTGAAACTGTAAAAAGTCACCGCATTCTACACTCATGGCTGCCATATTTACTACTGGACTATCGTCCAATAATGCTTCCAACAGATAAACGTAACAAACAATGAATAATTAATAACAATTCGAATTAATTTTTTACAATTTTTATTAACGATTACTAACTGTTACGAGATATATTAGTCACGTATATTATTACTTTATGTAACTTTTATTCAATGTTTGATTGGTAGATACTATGATTACTGCTCCATAATTATTTTTAAATTATTTAATATTGAATAGAGTCTGTATGAATAATATATATTTACAGTTTTACGTAGTGAAATAGTTGTATTATTAATTGATTGAACGTGACTGTTAAAAGATTATAAAAAGGGCTGCATACAAATAGGAAAAATTAAATTGATCACTCTTAAAAATTGATTAAACAGAGACTTCATGAATAATCAAATTTATTGCCTTATTTAAATGCAAATTACAGTTCCGTTAATAAGTTCTAATTTAACTAATTGAAAATTACCTTTTGTGAATAAAGATTATCAATTAAAGTCTTTTGCAGCAACACCGATCGACGAAATCGCTTAAAAATATCGCAATGATTAAGTAATAGATGTAATAAAAAATTAAGTAATAGACGTAATAAAAAATCATAGTCATCAATTTTGCAGTTGATATATTTTATAACATCAAGAACAATGTAGAAAAATAGAAAATTTCTGAACGCTGCTCGGTTGTTTCAAAGTTTTTACAATTTTACTTGTAACCCTAAGTTTTGCAGATCTTTGGCCATGGAAGTCCTTATTTCTGTAGATAAAGTGACCAGAGGTCTTCGTGTTGGTCCAACTTCCATATTAGTTAATGTAGTCATTGCTACCTTCATGGTCTCCACCCAATTACCTGCAAATTCAAATTAAGATGATTATAATCTAGAATTTTCTACTGTACATGTTCAGTTTTCAAGCATCATTTTCATGTATTACCGTATTTCGATATAGTAATTGCAGCCTTCGATAACATATCTTGCAATTCCCTCGCTTTCACAATATTTCCTGCTTTCCATTGTGCAAGAATTTCCTGCGAAAGTTCAGGTAACATGTTGATGGTTGTTGCAATATACGAGTCCATTCCTTGCGCACAGCCTGCGTTCACTAACTGGGAACATGACAAATTATACAAGTTGTTATATTTATTTAATTACATCTTTCAGTTTTAATTACGACGATTTTTCATTCGAAAAATAAATGTGTAATTATATACATCGATGTGCAAATTTAAGATGAACTTTTAAAGTCTGAGAACAAGATGAAAAATATAGAAATAAATTAGAGTCGATAAAATCGTTTTAAAAAATGATTTACATTGGAATCTTAAAGGATGCAATGAACACTGCAGCTTGATGGTTTTCTTAATGGCATAGTAATAAACAGGTACCTGATCATTGCCGAGGAAGACTGTATATTTCTTGTTGGCAGCATTAAATGCTTGAATACCTTCGTCTAAGTTCGAACTTGTGAATTTTATTCCCACGAAATTCGGAATTCTGTCACCAAGGGATTCCAAAAATTGTCCCATGTGAACTGAAATGGTGATTTCAATCAGCACGCGCGCGTGGAAATACTTTACAATAATATAAATGAAAACAATATCGCCGCGGTGTGTTACGTTAATAATATTGATGTACTCGTTTAGATTGCATGATTCCCCGTATGTTTAAAAATTAATGATCGATTACTACTCACTATTAACGTTCGTGAACATCGGAATATGATAGTAGAGAAGTGGCGTATTTGGTGCAGCTTTGCTCACCAATTCCAGATATTCCGTCAATTGACTGGTTGTTGTTGGTTTGAAATACAGCTCGGGCAGACATAATAAAGAGTCAACCTTGAGGCTTTCTGCATGCTTGGCCTTTAAATGAACATATCGATTTCACGTTTTGACTCTTCGATTGCAATAATTAGACTGCGGATGTTATGCGTTTGTGGCAAAATTGAGTAGTTGCAATTTAAAATAGCAGAAATTAAAAGAATTTAAGAGCAGCGACGTATTACTCTCAATATATTAAAATGATTAAAGAAGGAAAGAATTATTTATATAGTTTGTGTTTCTTGCAACTGGACAATTTTTATTTGGCAGAAATATCCGCACTGTAATAATGGTAAGAGATGCATGAAAATTTAGTTTGGAAGTACAATTTCGTAAAAATAATTTCAATGCGATGATAGTGTAATTCAGTAACAATTTGTATGCAATTTGTTGTTATAGAGCAGTTTATAGAATACGTACAAGCTCTAAAACGTCTGGGAGAGTTGTACCCCCTACTTGGACCATCAGATGTTGTTTGGTGGTTTTTACAGCATTCGCCCAAGCTGTAGCTGTTGCCTTTCTTTCGGCTACTGTCAAGGACGTACCTTCTCCAGTGGTTCCATTTACTATTAGATCAAAATGACACGTAAATCGCGGTGTAATGATTAACAATTTTTTGGAGACGAAACAATATTTCCTATTTTTTAAAGAAAATCTGTATCATAGTTCTCTTGGTAAAATATTATTATGCTAACAAAATAGGTTCGCCGGATGACAAGTTAATTTTAATAATAATAATTAGACTGCAGATTTTGTTACTTTGAGATCAAAATAACTAGAAAAAATATGAAAGTGTGTATATTAGAAGAATTAAGAATTTCGTTATATTCTTTTTAAATTATTGAAATAATTCATAGAAGAAATAGATATTTACTTAACTTATGTTTAATATAATTTATTTAGTTCCTATTTTGCATGAAGATCGTATAGGATGAATTTATACTATGAAGAAATAAGAAACTTGTTGTTTTTTTCTTCTTCAATTATTTTGTTCATATAGAATACAATTTTTAAATGTAGGAAAGTTGACAAATTAATGAATCAATTTAACATCTGGCAAGTTTGCCTTGGACCTTATAATTCTAGCATGTTTGTGTTTGGCGCAGATTTAGATTAAAATGGCGGCACCGTCCAGTTTAAATATTACGAAAGCATTTGCTTGACTAGGAATGAAACTCTGATAACGATTCGGAAATAATAGAAAGTGTAATTTTGACTTACCTAGGATTCCAGTGACATTCTTTTTAGCCAAAAATTCAGCATATTGTGGGATAACCGCCAAATTTAGAGTTCTTTGGCTGAAGCAAACGAAACAAAGTGTTAAAAAAATTTTTTGGAGATTGAGTAATAAAAAAAACAAACTGTAGAAAATTATATAAATAGCGATATTTTTAATTAATGTTGCAGTACTGATTTCTATATTTGGTGACTCCATATTTTGCATTAATTCTTGATAATTATTTAGGATCGTTTAAAGTTATTACCTGTCATTGTTAAAGGGTGTGAACACTGGGACCATAAGTCCTCTGAACGTAAATGCTGTTTTCTACAATAAAAAGATTATTCGTCATGCTAAAAGTACTATTCCAATCTCTCATAAATCGTAATTCAACATCAAATTACTTTTTTGATTAATAAATACAGTTTTAGTCAATGTAATATGAAAGCAGCATGCAAAATTAAAAGACGATAATACGTAACAGTAATTTGGTCAATTTCATACTTGATAATATTAAACGAAAAATATTTAAATTTATTGGCGAACGAAGCATTATTACAATTCCTTTATGAGTGAAAAAAATTAATATATTAAATATATTGAAATTTCAAAATTGTTGTACAATAAATTGTTCAATTAATTTCGCCGAAATATTACATACCGTCATGTTGGTTGTGCGTTCTGAACTCAAATGCGACGAATCAATTGGCATACTGCATTATAAGACTCACCGGAGAGGAATATTTTGTTCGGCTTTGATAAGATTGTACCTACTTCGTATCAATTATCATGTATCTCTTGTTTACTGTCTTTTAAAACTACTCTCGTACGTTTTATTTCAGTATGATAAATTCGTAATCAACGCATTTTCGTAACTGCAGTGTAATAATTATGCAAAAGTAACGAGAGATACAATGTAAATATTATATAATTTTTTTGCAAATATGTAACTTACCTACAATCGATCACAGAGAAAAATTGTTAAAGCTATTCGAGTAATTGTACTTATCTTTCATTGAAGCACAATTTAAATGATGTAAAACCGAATTTCTTTAAAAATATCTAATGCACTTACAGCTTATCACAAGATATTTATAGCATGCATCTGAGAAACTAATATTTGAAGAGAGAGAGAGGCGAGATAATTCAAGATAAAGATATTCTGTAGAAGTTATCTTGTTGCTGGCTTAAAACGAGTCGTTATAGTAACAATAAATTTGATTTTTTTTGTAATACATCCATAGCAACTTGTTTACAAATTGTTATGCGTTCTTGTTATCAGTTTATTTTTCTGCATTCTACCAGAAGCTAATTATACCTGACGGGTAATAATATTTACAACAAAAGTGAATTGATCAGATATAAAGCAGTAAAAAATCCTTAAAAAATGATACAAATATCTGTAATGCTCCCTGTGCCTTGTAATTAGTGCAGATAATTTTTATTTAGCATAAATATCCACAGTCTGATAATAAAGCGACGATAGGATCAAGGTCAACAAATAAAAACCCTCAGGCTTATTTATAAAAATGCTTTTTATTATTATTTACATATAGCTTATCCTTCTCTTCAACAATGCCTGCAATGTATTTCACATAGTATCGTAGTGATCAATTATACATAAACTTCAAGATGACTGCATGCGTTTTTTTTTCTGTTAATGAGTATTACATACGCGTTCGCGTTCCTGGAGGCGAGAACGTAGACTACGATTAGAGTATACACAACAACGTCGAAGAGCATTCTACTTTAATGCATCTGCTACTCGTAGTACACAATGCCCTCCCACTCGATTCACCGTTCTTTTTTCATTTACATAAATTGCCACTTGAACTCAACGAAGTTCGAGCTATAGTTCGCGAAAAATCGTTGGAGTTCTATTAGTTGATGGCACGTTTATATATTTTTTCTTCAATCTCTTCGTATTTGTCGATACTGTCGAGACTCGATTATACTTAGCGAATATTATGCTAACTATTAATAGAACTTCCTGCCACTTTTAAAGAATGATTTTCATTTATAATCTACGATGGAATTGTTTAAACGTACACTTTTGCCGTCTCAGCATTAACGTTATTAGAATAATTAATATTTCTTTTTAATACTTCGTACCTTGCGTGTTCTTCGCTGATAATTAATGCTCTAATTAGCTAATCGATTAGAGATCGTAATCGTCGAAATGAAAAGTGCGGCTGATTAAATTATTTCTGTCGCAATTAGCTGCTGGTCCCGTGAACGAAATACAATTAATTAACACGCAATCGAGCTTCTTCTTCTACGGTCAGATTAAAATGTTTGAAACAACGACTAATCATAAGTTCGTGAATTTTCAATTTATTTTTGTAGAAAATGATCGAACGAAATCGAATTGTATTCGGTACACAGCTGCGATTATTTTCGTTTCAAGCGTGATCGCAGCCTCGCCAGACTATGCGATCTGTGCGATTACTTACTTCTAGATAAAGTCGGATCATTTATGTAATAACATTTAAGTGGTGACGTAACCGGATGACGAGGCAATTATCTATACAGCGTTGTTAGATGTCTAGGAACACGATCTACGCCACGAAAACCAAAATAGAAAGCGTACGTTTGTTTCCAAAAGTACAGAAAGTTGCATATTAAAGATATCGAATTCGTGTAATATAGAAAATACACGAAATAATTATTTCTCCAGCCACTGTATTAAAGTTACTTAGCGTACGAAAAACATGAAACAATACAAAAAGAAACAGTGGGAGCATCAACCCTTTTCACTCGAAGACACTTTAACTCGAAATTCAAAATAGCTTTTGTGATCTACAGCATTTCCATTTTATGCGACTCTGTTAGTGCATTTTATGCACGCGAATCTAGGTCCCGTGACTCATACAACAGTCTTTTAAATATAAAGAGTTTTGGTAATTGAAATGTTATTTTGGAACGTGACGAAACAATTTCTAGCGCGTACTGTTCTTCTCGAGCGCAAAGAGTTAAAAGCTAATGAAAAAAGGGCAAACGTTCACGATAATCGTCAAATGAAAGTCAGAGAAGGAAATTTTAATGAAATAACGGGTGGTTTATTGGCATAATTACAAACGTTTCTAGGGAGTATATTAAATTATCGTTCGAACCTTAATTAAAGTGTGTAGGTAAGTACGTTCAGATAGAGTTGATGAAACAACACTGCGAACCAATTCGAGCTTCTCACACGTGTATGAAAAAATAGGTTTACGGCCTGTCTGCGTCTGTTCGCGAACGAAGGTTTACATCGTACAAAAGTGTTTCAAGTAATATTGAAGCAGTTCACTAGAGAAAAAAAACGGTCGTAGGACCGCTTTTCGGCGCTATCGTGAGAATGTTACCTTTCCCAGGCTGGTTATGCTAACTACTGTTCGGTGAATGCTTAACAAATCGACCGACTATACAATCAATGATTCGCAGAACTAAATAGTAGCAACTTACGATGCACCATAATAGCCGCCCGAAGAGAATGCAGTGGAAACGAACCACAATTTATTAAATCTGTCATGTATGTATAATATATATTACATAATATATAAATTATATATAATATATAATATATATGTATATATGTATATATATATATGTATATATATATGTATATATATATATACACATATATATATAGATTCATGAATGTTAGGTGATACATATATATTAATATATGTATACTTTATCGTAAAACTCACACTTATGAAAAAGACATTTTATTAAATATTATTAGACAGATTAACAGCCGTGGCCGGGCCAGCCTGGCCATATGGCAGAAACGTTTTATTAAACTGTTCATTAACTTCTCATGTTATCAATAACGTTCTTGTCTTTCTTTGGCTTCGATTGCACGAAGGTGCACCGCAGAATTCATAACCGTTAAGAGTAACGTATTACCGGTTTTGATTCGACAACAATCGTCATTCTGTGAATTCCTGGGGAATAATCGAAGATATCATCACGGATTATTTTACGCATTCTGTTTTCATGTATAGGCGTTGGAAATATCTGGAACGAATTAATTTCGCGTGAAAAGCGTGCAGAATATGCGAAAGTTCATTTTAATGATGCTGTTAAATTGTATTGTATGTTAAATGATCACTTTGGCGGAACATAATTCACGTGGTCGACTGTTTTCGAATCATTCGGTACATTTAAGCCTATACATGCATCGATACACGTGTACTGTTCAGAGCCAGAAAGTTGGCTGGTGGGGGAAACACGCGTCTAGCTGTTCGCGGATCATTTTGTTACGTATATTTAGTTCATGTGATAATTTCATTCAGTTAGATCATACAGTTGAAACTCTTAGAAAAAGTAAGTAAAGTAAAATTTTGTCGCCTCTACTATTAAATCGGTATAAAAATTATTGAACAGGTTTCATCAAAATATTATTCAACAATAAAGTTTTATTTATTAAAGGTCGGACTCGTAGCGAAAATGTGAACGAACGTGATTATGCCATTTGATTCTATCGATTGCAAAGAAAATACTACTTTTCTGGCTCTCATATTCGTTTTCAAAATAAATAAAAATTCATGACAAAGACAGAATTTAAAAAATAATGCTATCTTCGTAATAGTTATTATAAAATGAGAAATTTATTAGTGCAATATCTAGTCAGGTTTAAACGAAATCAATAAAAGAAATCGCACTCTAATTATGTCCTTTCTGCTAACTGAATATTTAATTTCCACGTGCAATAAATAGACAGCGAATTTTATGCATTTATGACAAAATTGGCTAGTCATAATTTAAAATAGTATAAAGATCCAAGGAATTTAAAAATGTCAATTTATTATTTAATATTTTCAATCTATCGAAAGAATTAAAGAAAGAATGAACTTGTTATTTAGTCTTTATTTCTAGCAATTGCTGTAGACAATTTTTATTTTTCGTCTAGTAATAAAAGCAGTTTAAATAATCAAACGATCTCACTCTCAGAACTGACTATGAGACCACATGTCAAAGATACAGTCCATCCAGTCAATTTTCCAGCTCCATTCAGCACAATCGTATAGATCTACCGAGCATCGGAATTGTTCTAACTGCGCAAGACCGCAGTGGTGGTGGGCGGGGCCTACTGGACCTGGCGACCAATCCTTTGGTAAATATCCCCACTCCCAACGCCTAAGGAGGAACCTGATTGGACGGGGCGGGGTTTATATCGAAATCTCTTCGATTCCCCGCCCACAGGTTGTACCTAATGCTCGGTAGACCTGCGCAGGCCTAATCCCGCGCAATTATACATACACGAATGCAAATAGTTTATCCATTTAATTATTTGTTTAGATATTACGCGCACATATTTAATGTAACAGCTATCGAAGAACCACGGATATGTACAATATGGATATGCCCGATCAGTACATAGTATAACATAGTTATAGCATAATTCCTTTCGAGTGCGTTGGAACGCGTATCGTACATGTTCCTGATCGAAGGTTCGATTTGATCGCAAAGTTTCATCGATTCGGCCGACGGTCAATGTCGCACGAGAGCTCTCGCATGTTCAGACACAATCATGCTAATTTTCTCTATGCGAATAATCCCAACCATGTCGTGTCTCTGTGTATGTGTGTGTGTGTGTGTGCGTGTCTGCGTACGTCTGTTCTGTGACTGTTTTACGACCGTGTGTGTAGCATTGCCTGCATTGTCTGCAGTGAAACAAGCGAATCATCAGACGCGAATCATCATTTACAGTCGCGTTACCTTTTAAACACCCTATATATCTCGCGCGAAAGTTCTCACCGTGATCCG